ATGAACTGGAGTAAGGGCTGTCGGGAGCTTGAGACTCCCTCCCGATTGAAAAAGACACTGGCGTCCTCCATTGCCAGCCCCTTTCCACGTTTGCGCCTCCGTACCTCTGCACTTTACTTCCACACCTCCTCTGAGTCTCAGTGTGCTTTTCTCTTTTCTTCTAGTTGTAGAATTTCCACTCCGCCAGCCTTCCTGTAGTTCTGGATGATGTCCGTTTTGTCTTTTCATTGTATTTTTGAAGTTGTGGGAGGCAGCAATTTCCCAGTGTTTACCTATGCCGCCATCTTAGTTTTCTTAATCTTTATTTTAACTTGTGTTATTTTCCCTTTAGCATATTAAGTGCCAGTCAGTCACCGGTGACTGACACTATACTTTCCATCCAAAAGACAAAACCAGCTGGGTGCTTAACATGTTAAATAAACCTGGAGCCCCTGGGATCTAGTTTCAGCATATTTTCTGGAGGTTTTCAGGTGATCAGAATTTTGAAAGCCTGTCCAGACTTCCTAATACATATAGGAATTCTGCCATGACATAGGTACCTTGAAATATTCTTTCATACGTTAAAGAGCTCATTGCGAAAAGAATTACGTTAATATCAGAAAGGAAAATGCCTCCTGTATTACTTTTACTATGAAACTCAGGCTTTTTGAAGGCAGTGAGATCACTGAAGTTCTAGAACATCATTTTAGGGGAAGTAAAGCTATCTCTTCCTGTGCCCTCCCTCAGGATCTTTGGTTAGTGTTGAAGCCTCCTACACCCCAGAAAACGGAGACCTAGTCAGCCAGTAAAATCTGGGCACAGTGATCTCTTCCCTCTGCTACTTGGAAATGGTATTGGCACTCCCCAGTGTGCTCTGGTATGTGAGATTCTGTCTGCTTTTGGCAGTCGGGAAATGAATCAGTAGCACCCTGCAATATTGTCATTTGAGCTGTTAGGAAATTTGAGATCACTTGCAGATCTCAAAGTGATGATCCTCTTACATGGAAATGAATGTCCCTTCCATTCAGGACTGCATTTGATGGGTTGAGAAGTGCTAGGCATCAATTACATGACAAAGATAATGCATCGATGCATATGGGAGCCCTCCCTCAGATGTGCCAGTTGGTGAAACATGGACAGTTCAGAAACTCCTCTGCTATTTTTAGACAATATCAACATCTTAATTTCTATTTTTTACCCTTAGAATCTAGGCCACAAAGTCACATTGGTTGTGTGTGTGCGCGTGCACACATGCACGTGCATGTGGCTCGCTTTCTCTGTTTTGAGTTTACTTTACAGGGTATTATATTGTATTTTACTTGACAATCTAGTCATCAACTGCCAAAGAAAGACATTTTTTAACTGTGTGAGAAGTTTCTTTTATTTCAGCTATTCACAATGTTTTGAAGATTTGGAGCATGTGTTCACTGAAAACCTATTTATCATCTCTTCACAAAATATTCCATCAAATATTGTAGTTCTGAACAAGTACCTTTTCACATCTAAAAGTTCAAGTATATACCTTCTTTTTTTCTACATGTTTAGAATGATTTTCCCTTTGAAATGTGAACTCCCACATAAAAGCCAACTTGTCATTACATATAACTCTATTCTTTAGCAGATTTTTGTCCTCCATTGGAGGGCAAAGTCTTCCTAGAATTTAAAATCTCTTGCCTAGCTTAATGACCTCTTAAATGACTTTCTGTCCCAAGCTTCTATAACAGTTAATCGGAAAGGTAACACACTTTTAAAAATCCAACTTATGGAGTCAGATGAAAATATAGCTTGCATTAGATAGGCATCACTATGATGTAATTTTATTGGATAGGAAATGCTATGTCATTATTCCCCATTAGATCAGGCTCTAGATGAACTTGTTCTTAAATTTTGGAATAATTGACAAATATTTCTGTACAATGACCAAAACTTAATTGGAGGTTAAGATAAAGAACACAGAATATGAAATTGGTATTTAAAAGTCTGCTTATACATTTGTATTCACTTATTCATTGTCTCTCCAAGAGGGTTTTGATGTGGTTTACAACAAAAGACTCAACCTTTGAAAAATGGGGCAAGAAGACAGGAGCTCAATAAAGAAAAGACTTAAAAACAACTCAATATTCCTAACCTCTGGGATGCCACAGGTTTTGAACAAAATTTATGCATGAAAATGCAACAGTTCACATTGCTGTTATTCAATAACAAAAGTTAGATCATGTTATTCAAAAAGGCAAACCTTTTACTTATCTCATTATTAGGAGTAACAAGGTGAATTTTTACATTAACCCACTAAGCAATGATTTTTGTGATTGATGACAGTCATTTTAAAATGCAGCAACTTGATGCAGCAGGTGGGAGGCAAGCCCTGCTGGTGCAAGAAAGGAAGCAGGGATTCTCAGTTGGTTGTCCACCTTCAGCTTTTCTTTGAGGTACTTTTCTGTTTGGGTTTTATTAATGATCAAAACATTTCAAATATCTCTGCATACGCAAGAGTTATTAGGAGCCTTAATGAAGTACAACCTGGTCAGCCTGCATCTGAGGGCCTCCTACACCTACTTCTCTGGGCTTTATTTCAACCTGGATAACATGGCTCTGGAGGGCATGGGCCACTTCTTCCACAAGTTGGCTAAGGAGAAGCAAGAGGGTACGGAGCAGCTCTTGAAGATGCAAAGCCAGTGTGGTAACCGTGCCCTCTTCCCAAGGTGAGGCAGGTAAAACTTAGAATGCCATGGAAGCCACCATGCTCATGGAGAAGAACCCGAACCAGGCCCTTTTGGGTCTCATACAGACCCCCATCTCTCTGACTTCCTGAGGAACCATTTCCTGGATGAGGAGGTGAAACTCACAGAGAAGATGGGAGACCACCTGGCTTCCCTCTGCAGGCTGCCCAGCCCCCAGGCTGGGGCTGAGTGTCTTTGAAAGGGTCACCCTCAAACATAACTGGATCCATGGAGCCCAGAGTCCTCTGTGGGGCCCCTCTGTATCCCCTGGTATCTGGCTTCTGCCTGAGCCTCTCCCTGAAACTACTAGACATCCTTTTAACCACCCTGAAGTGCTCTCCCATGCACTGGACCAAATGGAAACAATAAAGCTTTTTTGCGGCAATAAAATTAATAATAATAATAATAATAATAATAATAAAAAATACTGCATGGATTCAACCCATCTGCACTCCAAACTAGTTTGAATTTAGGCAAATTGGTTAGCCTCTCTTGAAATTTGAAATTATTCATAGTGCACCCCTCAGAAAACCATGAGGGGGATGCAAGGTGTATTAAATGAAATCAGATCTATAAAATGCATAGAACGTGGCACAGTTAGATATCATTATGTTTTAATGCCAAAATAATCATTTTTAAAAATTTTGTCTTTATTGTTGAAAATGTTACAGATGTCCCCCTTTCTTCCTCCATTGACTTCCTTCACCTCATAGCCTCCCCCAGGCCTACTACACTATTGCCTGTGTCCATGGGTTATGCATATTTACTTATATAAAAACCCTGGGTGTAACATCACAGCCAGAAGCACGACCAACTGGAAGGAAGTCAGTCCTGCAGGGGTCGTCTTGGAAATGGCTGCGCCCTCCCTGAGCTCTTTCCTGGAGGGCGAAGTTTCAGGCAGGAACCCACCCTCAGGGTGAGGTATGGAAGTGAAATGATTTTTAATGGATCTATTATTGAAGCTACCTTTGAAAATACTATATCTATAGATCAGTGGTTCTCAACCTGGCTGCACATTAGAATCATGTGGGGATCTTTTTAAAATCCTGATTTCTGGGCCTCATCCTCCGGAAATTATGTTTCTTTGTTACTAATATTGTGACCCCACTCCATAACAAAGAAACAGAATTTCCGGAGGATGAGGCCCAGAAATCAGGATTTTAAAAAGATTCCCAGGTGATTCTAATGTGCAGCCAAGGTTGAGCACGACTGCTCTAGAATATTAAGTCAGGGAGAGGGGATCCAAGAAGAGGCATAGAACATGACTAGAGCCATGGGCCTGCATTGTTCCAAGCCTTCCATGCAGCTGACTGGCATGACGTGCCTTCACAGTTACCGGCAGGCCCACCTCCACGCCAAAAAAAGAAGCTGAAGTATTAACAGGATCTGCAGAGGGAGAGGTTGTTCTGATTCCAAGAATTAATTTGTCCCCATCTGACACTGGCCTCCCATTTAAATTGATTCAACAACCGTTTCCCATGATGCCAGCATTTGTGATGTCTATTAATAAATCACAAGGACAAACTCTAGACAAAGTAGGCATATTCCTACCTGAATCCATTTTCTCACATGATCAATTATATGTAGCTTTCTCTTGAGATTGAAGAGCATGTGACGTTACAGTTAAAGTTCTAAATCCTTCATCACAAGGGAAATTAGTCAAGCACTCTGAAAGTGTTTTCACTCTTAATGTGATGTACAGAGAGATATTAGAATAAGTTTAATCACTTTATCAGTCATTGTTTGCATCTGTGTTGTTTTTATATCATGTTTTTGTCATTTTAATATCATGCCCCTGTTGTAGAGGAAGGGAGAGGGATAGAGAGTTAAAAACATGGATGAGAGAGAAACATCGATCAGCTGCCTCCTGCATACTCCCCACTGGGGATGTGCCCGCAACCTAGGTACATGCCCTTGACCGAAATCAAACCTGGGACCCTTGAGTCCACAGGCCGATGCTCTATCCACTGAGCCAAACCAGTTAGGGCAATTAATTCCCTTTCCATGTGCACGAATTTCGTGCACCAGGCAACTAGTATGCATATAAGTCCTCTGGTTAATCTCTTCCCATACCCTCCACCCCCAACAAAAACTAATTTTTATTGCTCTTCTTTAAAAGAAGATTTGAAATTCATCCTTCTGTTTAGTGTCCAAGCAAGCCCTGGTCAGTGGTGACCAGGGGAACAACCAGGCACTGCAGGTCATTGCAGGTCCCATCTACTGAAGCGATTGCAAAAGTGGGAATGGAATGGAGTAAAATCATTGGATCAATTGACCAAAGAATCCTCTCCTAAGAGGGTTATCTTACATGGTTTTATTATTTAAAATCCCATTTTCTCTATTTCATTCTTGTGAAAAATATAGAAAGACAAACAAACTCAAGATATACAGCAACCATGTACCAGTAGAGCTGATACTGGTTTTGAAATAGGAAATAGCTTGACCAAGTGACAAGGGGAGGAGTCTGAAAACAGCACAGTGTGCAAACCCCGAGAAAGAGAGAAAATATTCTGTCGGGTTGAAAACAACCCTAAAGTGATGGTGGAAAAGAAGAAGAAGTCATGTAAAAATTATGGGGAACGTTTTTTGTAATGTAGTCTGTAAAAGTCTCTTCAGTTTCTTCATTTGAGTCACGTAAAACTAAAATACAAATAAATCAGTGGATTTCCCAATGCTTTTATCACTCGAGTGATTATATTTAATAACTCATTCCCTGTCTATTTATTAGTTGTTTTTTAGAGTCATCAAGAAAGTTTCTTAATATTTGGTAGCATCTAATTTTGGAATGAGCTATATGGCTCCATGTACTTGTCTCTTCTTGTTATTCTAGAGATTTAAACAGAATATGGATGTAATACACCACTAGTGTTCAGTCCCTGTGGTTTTAGTTAAATCTAAATGCAAATCAAAATGCATTTTTTATGCCAGGATATTTGGTGAGCTATTTTAATGCTTATTTTATGGTTCCACAGACCGTAACTGACACCTATTCGAAATCATTGAATTTCCAATATTGAATGTGCAAAATTATGTTCTACTCTAAGATCACCAAAAGGGAATGTGACACATATCATAATGTAAATGCCTCAGAAAATAAGATTTGGTTCTTACAGAAATAACACAGATGAGGTACTTAAAATTTACCTAAACCTGGCTTCCATGTCTTCTTGTCTTTATGTCACAACACTTGGCTATCCTAAGACAGTGATAAAACAGATCTTTCAGAGCCAGACCACACCTGAAGGAACATGGCAGAGGAGCTTAAACTATAATCCAGTTACTTCCCTTAAAAGGGAAGCCATCCATAACAGGATTCCCCCAGGTCCACTCTTAATAGATCAATGCTTTTTGAAAAGTTAATATCCACTTCAGACTTGCCTTAATCTGGCTCTTTACCAGAAATTCTTCTCTCCCAAAAGAACATCTCATAAGAGATTGAACTTGGAAGAGCTTCCCTTGTTTGGTTCAAGGCCTTAGGCCTTCACACAATGCAAACAAGTCTGGAAGAAAGGCAATACTTTATGTTGTTATGAATATTTAAAGTTAGTATAAAATCTTAAGTGGCATTCTACTGAAGATAGAGGACTGTCCAGGCCTTCCAAGTACAAGAGTAAGAGGCCACATTGCACAACTCCAGGGATCACCTCCCACAGACTCAGTGCAAGGGCACCAGCCTCCATGGAGAAGTTTGGATGTGGAGGCGGGTTTAGAAGATGAGGTTTCTTGGCCCACCTCTCCCAGCTGGGAGTCAGCACACTTGAAATCCAGTTCGAGCCTTCATGCACTCTGATCCCGTTCAGTACGTGTGTCCACACATTTTTCAACAAGCACGTTTCCAGAGCACTGTGATGCAAACTGGCAATGCACCAAAAACAAGACAGTCCCTTCCCTCAAAATCATACCCATGCCAAATACAGGCAGAGCTGGTCTGAATGCTAACAGCTTTTGATTTTTGAACCTTGTCTACATTTTTCCAAATCTTGTGAGGAGCATGTACCAACTCATATTCAAACTAAAGCATAAACACATTTTTGTCACATTACTCAGTTTACTCTGCTTAGATGAGGAGAAACCCTAGCACATGGTTCTCAACCTGTGGGTCGCGACCCCTTTGGGGGTCTAATGACCCTTTCACAGGGGTCGCCTAAAACCATCGGAAAACACGTATATAATTACATATTGTTTTTGTGATTAATCACTATGCTTTCATTATGTTCAATTTGTAACAATGAAAATACATCCTGCATATCAGATATTTACATGACGACTCATAACAGTAGCAAAATTACAGTTATGAAGTAGCAAAGAAAATAATTTTATGGTTGGGGGTCACTACAACATGAGGAACTGTATTGAAGGGTCGCGGCATTAGGAAGGTTGAGAACCACTGCCCTAGCAGAATAAAAGCGTCTTCCTTAAACAGCTTGAGAAAAGTAGTCTCATGACATCATAGCATTAGGATAATCTTCACAGCATGTTCCTCCTCCCTGGGATAAGGGGGAAATTAATAAAAAGAACACACTACTTTTGCATATTTTCATTTTGCAACTTAGAGAGGTATTCTTTTAAAATGTAATCAAGTGTCCCCAGGGCACCTACTGCATTTATGTAAAGCCAAGGCTGTGTGGAAGGTGGAGAATCTTCCAGAAATGCTGGAGTCCATTGGGACCAGCAGGACATCATAAGGCAAGTCATGAGACATTCGCTGTGAGCCAGTCTCTTGTGTCCCTACATGTCACCTTCCACCGTGTTGAGAAGCTCTCACAGACACCCCTGATGCTCACCAGATGGGGAGCCCAGGGATCTGATTTGGTGCTAAAACCACAGTAAGTATGACACATCCTCTAGATTCAACATGCCCTGGTGTGTCATGTGCACAAAAATAGTGCCCTATCTTAGTCAATTTTCCCTGCCAATCAACATACAATTGATGTAGTATAGAATTGTATACCTGAAACCTACATAATTTTATTAACCAATAG